CTGGTCGTCTCCACTCCGACCAGGGTCGTAGTTTCGAGGGCAACCTAATTCAGCAGCTTTGCTGTCTGTATGGAGTTACACGGTCACGGACCACACCGTACCACCCCGCTGGAAACGGTCAATGTGAGCGTTTCAATAGGACCATGCATAACTTGCTGCACACCCTACCTGCCTCAAAAAAAAGAGACTGGGCCTCCTGCCTTCCGCAGTTAGTCTTCTGTTACAATACTACTCCACATCAGTCGACTGGGGAGTCTCCACACTTTCTGATGTTTGGTCAAGATCCCCAGCTACCGGTAGACTTCTTGTTGGGCAGAGTGCGTGAGTCAGAGGCTGGTACGGTACATGACTGGGTTCGAGAACATGAGGCCCGACTGCAGGTCGCCTTTGAGGGTGCTAGAGGGAGACTAGCAATCGCTGCTGCACGCCGCAAGGACTATCATGATAAGAGGGTGAAGGAAGTGCCACTGTCAGAGGGTCAGCGAGTTTACCTGCGTAACGTGGGTGTAAGGGGACGTAACAAAATTCAAGACCTTTGGAGCTCTGTGGTTTATCAGGTAATGAAGGCACCTAAAGAGAAGGGAGTGGTGTACTCAATTGCACCTGTGAACGATCTGGGGAAGGTACGACATGTACATCGGACGATGCTGAAAGCCCAATTGCAGCCAGAGCCCCAGGACATCCCCCAGGATCGACCATCAGTGACAGTTGGACCACCCGAAGAGGATGTTAATGATGATTTGTGGCTTGTAGTACCTACCAGTTCGGTTGGTCCCAGTTCAAGTGCTGACCCTATGAGATATTACCGTAATCTTTCAACAGTACCAGAGGCCGCCAGGTTGCCTCTGGTTACTCCAGATGCCCAGGAGGCAAGGCCGTTGACCCCTCCGACTGCCCTGATTGATCTAGGTCCAACCTTGCCTGAGGAGACTCGACCATCGTTACGACGGACGGCTCGCTCGACTGCCGGGCAACACTCTAATCTGTACCATCTTCCGCAGACTGTACAGGGGGTCGCGGGTGGGACTGTTTGCTCTTCTAGGGTTGGTCTCAGGCGGTTCCGGCTTTGTTTAGGCCCTGGCATTAGCCTGGTGGCATCGAGTCGTTAGTTTGTCTCTAATGTCAACATTCGAGTGGACTTATCGTTGGGGCGCCGATAAAAGAGGGGGGGGGTGGAATGTAACAGTAGAGGAGTTTCATTTTCCTTTGTTGGCGTCATTGCCCTTTTATGGGAATGGGTGGATGAGGTAATCGGGGCCAGCGTATTTAAAGGTTCAAACAGGAAGCCCTAGAATGTAGGCTTTGTCACGCCGCCCCTCTTCCGGTTTCACTATAGTCCAAAGTGTTTAGACTGTTTTTTATCTTTGAAGGATCGCTGTAACCGTTTTGGCTGCGTACCCTGGGAGTTGCGTCGAGCACTCATAGAAAGCTTGAGGTATGTCAGCGATCACAATCTGTTGTGATGTGGGTTGTATGGGGTTAGTCCAGTTTAATGGGGGTTATTGTGTGTTTTAGTGAAACAGTCGCGAGTGTATCCTGACATTGTGATGTGTGATCCGTGATGTGTGTGTGATTCTCGTGTGGTATGTATGATTTAGTAATATTTTGTATTTGTTGGTTTGAGTAGATCCTTGTCTGATTGTTATGTTTTGTTTTACAGTCTTCCGCGTACCACGTGATTTAATTCAGGTCGTGCTGCTGTTTTTCTTAGACTAGATTATTCCCTTTGTCCTTCGTGAATAATTGTTTTCTTAGGTTTTCATGACTTTAACTCTCTGGGGTCGGCGGTCTCGCCGGCGATACCAGCTCACTTTTTTCCTTATCAGTGCAAAAGAGACTCAAATTACTCTGTTAATTTTAATCTTACATATAAGTGTTGTACATCATTCGATCCTGTTAAGTTTGTATTTTTTTTGTGGAACCTCATAATAAAAACAAAGTGTTGTGCTTTTCGCCTAATAAAGAAAAATAAACATGATGCGCGTTCTGCGTTCTCTCTGTCAGTGAAGTCCATTCTGAAACGCGTCCGAAAAATCATCTGTAACTCTGCAAATACTCAGTCAAACAGGTATACAGGCACACATGCATGAAGCCTGAATTATCTTCTTTTAAATGAAGTAATTTATATAAAAAAATTTTTTTCTCATTTTATGTAATCTGTACGAAAAGAGAGAGATGATAGTCGTTCTCGTCTCAGCTCATTAAAGTTAATTTGACCACGCCCACAGAGCGCGCGCTCTATTCAAACACAAATGCGATCCACGCCCACATCAGCTGGATAACCCACGAAAGAGACTCAGATTTACGACGCTGTGAGGAATAATAGTTCTATCTTAATAATAATCCTGGAAAAAATTACCTCAGAAGTAGGCTACAGGTAGTTTCATTTGGAGGAGCAACGGATCCAGCCGAGGAAATAGGTACATTCTTTATTTTCAAGTGCTTTGTGCTAATCGCGATATGGAATAGTGTCTGTAAACAAAAAGACTGTTTGAATCGCGTTTTTGTGTGTGAATGAATGAACAGCTTTTACCTAACTATATTCCAATACTGAGATGAGTAAAAATCGACTGAAATATGTTGAAATAAAATATTTTTGTATAAGCAACGTATTAAACTGCAAATTAACATTTATATGTCCTAATCATAAAAACGATGTGTTACATATGAAAGACAAGATGTCGTTTTTACTGTAAAATACTGCCACATCAAATAAGCTTGTTTGCTAAGATGTTATTATAGTGTTTGTTCGATTGTAAGCTATATTCAAACTAATTAATCCGCAACTGTGAAATATGTATGATAAAATGTATACTTTAGTATATAATACAAAGAAAGATTACATTTGAAATATAGTTAAAATTTTAATTGTTGTTGTAATTGTAACCTTTTTATTAAAATAGCAAAAATATATGTAGGCTACATATAAATAAATCTTAGGTAAATCTTAAAAGCTCAATATAAGCCTCCTCTTTAAATTATTTGTATTGTGTTTTATTAGTGACACATTTGGGATATATTCCCAAACTTTCTGTAAAAACAGTATGATAATTAACTGCACAATTACTAGAAATTTTTACATTTGATATTATACAATTTGAAAGCACAATTTGAAAAATAAATAAATAATTGGAACTGTGAACCAATTTTGTATTATATAGGCATATATATATATATATATATATATATATATATATATATATATATATATATATATATATTGTCATTGCATTCTTGTGGCTCAGTGACACACCTGTATGAAAGGGTCATTAGTATGCAGCCCCATTATGCGCTCATTATGCGGGCCCATTGTCTTCTCAGGTGTGAATCACAGCAGGTCACACCCCTGCGCATATTGCCTTTCCAAACAAAAAGTGTCATTTTTAAATTTAAACCAATCTATTGTTTTACGGAATGATAAGGCAGGATGATTTTCAGATCATTTTGAAGAAAAAACTCTAGGCGACAACATCCATTAGTCAAAAGTCTTGTGGACAGATATTTAGTATGTGTTTTGTGGCCTTATTTCAGAAACTTAAAGTTTTAGTTTTTTCAATAACCACGCATAAACAATATTCTCTCAAAAATACAAAAATGTACATACATGTTGATAACACATTATGGTAGCCCTGTGTGTGCTAAATAGAGTGTAATTACACCTTTGCCAGTAATATGTTTATAAGCAACTGAAAAAAGCACAAATGTCAGAGTATGTCAAAACATCTCAAGGACCCAAAAAACACCTTGGACCCCAGAGGGTTAATAGTCGTGGTGTGTTTTTGATTTCATTTTATGGTTTGGGTTATTTTGCTATTTCTGTAATGGAGTTGGACTGATCAGTGTGATTTGGGCCTTAGTGCCGTGTGGTGTTATATTAGTGTCTATCTAACGATCATCCACTGAGTATTTTGGGGTCGTCACAGCTGATGTGTCACGTTTCATGGATCCACTGTCTCATTCTGATATGTTGTGTGTGTGTGTATGTGTGTCTGTGTGGGCGTGGTTACTAATTCCCGGTTGATTGTGTGCACCAGCTGCAAGCCCTTACCAGTTGCTTTATATGCCCAGTAATTCCCATCTCACATTGTCAGATCGTTGTGGCTTTCCCGGTGTCGTGTTCCTGTTCCTGTGTGGTCTTCGCTTCTCCTCGTGTGTTCCAGTCTTCGTGGGTCTTCGTCGTTGTTCCCGGTCTGGATTGTTTATTGTTCCTGGTTGATCACTCCGTCTTCATCTCCACGAGACCCCGGTTTGCCCATCGACGTCCCTGTTGTCACAGTTCCATCTGAGTGTTTGTCCCCGACCTGTGTTTTTCCTGTGACTTGTCTGACCAACTAATAAACCAACTTTTACTTGCATTTGTATCCGATTCGTTCGTCATAGAACGATCTGACCGGACATGGATGCAGCAAGTTTGGCCAGTTTGAGCGAGTTCATCGCACACAGCGTGACGAGAATGGATCAACAAGGAGAAGAGATCGCGAACACAGGTCGCGCGGTTCAAGCACTCGTGACACAGGTGTCCGAGCTCACCCAACAGCTTCAACATCTACGCGCGCCCACTGCGCCGCCCACGCCGCCCGTTCCCCCCCCCACCACCCCAGCCAGAGAATCAACCTGAACCTCGCCTGCCTACGCCGGAGGGATATTCAGGTGAGCCCGAATACTGTAGGGCTTTTCTCACGAGATGTTCCATGCATTTCGCATTGCAGCCACGGACTTTTCACAGTGAACAATCCAAGGTGGCATTTGTACTAACTTTACTGTCAGGTAAAGCAGCGCTCTGGGGAACGGCGGTGTGGGAGAACCAAGACTACTGTTGTTCCTCGTTCCAGGCACTCTCCACAGAGATCAGAAGAGTATTCGATCGGGCGGTAGCGGGTAAGGAGGCGGCCAGATTACTCGCGGATCTACGCCAAGGAGATGGCTCGGTGTCGGATTACTCGATCCGTTTCCGCACCCTGGCCGCAGAGTGCCATTGGAACGAGGAGGCGCAGTGGGACATGTTCCTGCATGGGCTGGCTGACCGCGTTCAGAAGGAGATATACATCTTGGACCTTCCTAAATCTCTCAATGAACTGGTGGAGCTGGCGATGAGGGTCGATTCACGCCTTAACCGTGTGACTCAGCGGGTTCGCTCCAGTCGTTTCCAGCCTTATCCGGAGGATGCACGGACCAGTGACGGGAACGCGGTCAGCCCAGTTTCCGACCAGGAGCCCATGCAGGTGGGGAGAGCTCGGCTTTCCCGGGAGGAGAGGGAAAGGCGGAGGTCCCAAGGACTCTGCCTTTACTGTGGTAAAGCTGGCCACTTTCTCTACTCTTGCCCGGTAAAAGAGCAAGCCCGATAGTAAGCATGAGGCTACTATCGGGTGGGATCTCCGCCGAGAAGTCCTCATCTACATCATCGACCCTCCTCCCGGTAAGACTGAGATGGGCAACCTCCACACACACCACTCAAGCATTACTGGACTCGGGAGCAGAGGGTAATTTTATGGATTTCAGTTTCGCTGTCAAACTCAAGATTCCCATCATTTCTCTCACGCACAAGATATCTGTCAACGCACTCAATGGACAGGACCTTCCCAGAATTTCGCACTCCACTGAACCTCTCACACTCATCACATCGGGCAATCACACTGAACATATTTCTTTTCTTCTTATGGACTCACCACTAGCACCGGTGGTTCTAGGGCACCCATGGCTCACCAAACACAACCCCCGTGTCGACTGGCAGAACAATTTCATTTCCTCTTGGAGTAATCACTGTCATGAGTCATGTTTGGTGTCTGCTTGTCCTTCTGTGTCTAGTTCTGTGTTTCAGAGGGAGGCAGTGGATTTGTCTAACGTGCCCGCAGAGTACCTCGACCTGAAGGAGGTGTTCAGTAAGTCTCGTGCTGCTTCTCTCCCTCCGCATCGTCCCTATGACTGTGCTATAGATTTACTGCCAGGTAAGTCTCCGTCTAAGGGCAAACTTTACTCTCTTTCTGTTCCTGAGAGGGAGGCCATGGAGAAATATATTTCTGATTCTTTAGACTCTGGGTTCATCCAGCCTTCCTCTTCTCCTGCGGGGGCGGGGTTCTTTTTTGTTGGGAAGAAGGATGGTTCTCTGCGACCTTGTATTGATTACCGAGAGTTGAACAACATCACGGTGAAGAATACTTATCCTTTACCGTTGATGTCTTCAGCTTTCGAGAGGTTGCAGGGAGCATCCATTTTCACAAAATTGGACTTACGTAATGCTTATCATTTGGTCCGCATCAGGAAGGGGGATGAATGGAAAACCGCGTTCAATACCCCCAGGGGGCACTTTGAATACTTGGTTATGCCTTTCGGCCTTTCCAACTCCCCAGCGGTTTTCCAAGCACTCGTCAATGACGTGTTGAGAGATATGGTCGATCAGTTCATATATGTTTACCTGGATGACATATTGATTTTTTCTTCATCTCTCCAGGAACACGTTCAACATGTCAGGCGAGTGCTTCAGAGGTTGCTAGAGAATGGGCTTTTTGTCAAGGCGGAGAAATGCGATTTTCATGCACAGTCTGTTTCCTTCCTAGGGTACATCATCTCTTCTGAGGGAATGCGCATGGATCCTGACAAAGTTAAGGCGGTGATGGATTGGCCAAGTCCAGATTCCCGTAAGGCCCTACAGCGGTTTCTGGGGTTCGCCAATTTCTATAGGCGATTTATTCGCAATTTTAGCCAACTAGCCGCGCCTCTGACTGCCTTGACCTCCCCCAGAACTGCGTTCAGGTGGTCCGATATGGCAGAAGCTGTATTCGTCAACCTCAAGAGTCGGTTTATTTCGGCCCCCATTCTTGTCACCCCTGATTCCACACGTCAGTTCGTGGTGGAGGTCGACGCGTCAGAGGTGGGGGTAGGAGCAGTTCTTTCCCAGCGCGCGTCCTCAGACGACAAGATGCATCCCTGCGCGTTTTTTTCCCATCGCTTGTCACCTGCCGAACGTAATTATGACATTGGTAACAGAGAGTTGTTGGCGGTCAAATTAGCGTTGGAGGAGTGGCGACATTGGCTAGAGGGTTCAGGGGTACCCTTTATCGTTTGGACCGATCATAAGAACCTGGAATACATTAGAACTGCTAAAAGACTCAACTCCAGGCAGGCTCGGTGGGCACTTTTTTTCGGACGTTTTGATTTTGTTCTCTCGTACCGCCCGGGTTCCAAGAACATCAAACCCGATGCTTTATCTCGTATTTTTGATCCATCCGCACGCCCGGTTACTCCCGAGTGCATTTTACCTGAGAAAGTAGTTATCTCCACACTCACATGGGAGGTCGAATCGAAGGTCAAGACAGCCTTAGAAGGGGTAACGCCTCCGCCCGGATGCCCATCGAGTCGTTTGTTTGTTCCGGAGGGGTTACGGTCCGACGTTATTCGATGGGGTCATTGCTCCAACGTGGCTTGTCATCCAGGAGTAAGTCGTACTAACGGTTTAATAAAGCAACGATTCTGGTGGCCGTTAATGGCTCGTGATGTTCACGATTTTGTTTTGGCTTGTTCGGTTTGCGCCACTAACAAGACGTCTAACCGTTCTCCTGATGGGTTGCTCCGACCGCTGTCTGTCCCTTCGAGACCCTGGTCCCACATCGCACTAGATTTTATTACCGCCCTCCCACCCTCTAAAGGCATGACGGTCGTTTTGACCGTAGTGGACCGGTTCTCGAAGGCGGCACATTTCATTCCCTTGCCCAAATTACCTTCAGCCAAGGAGACAGCGGTCACGGTCATTGATCACGTCTTTCGGTTACATGGCCTCCCGAAGGACGTGGTTTCTGACAGGGGTTCCCAATTTGTGTCTAAATTTTGGCGAGAGTTTTGTAGGTTGTTGGGAGCTACGGTCAGTCTGTCTTCGGGTTATCATCCCCAGAGTAATGGTCAATCCGAACGAGCCAACCAGGATTTGGAGAGAATGTTACGATGTATGGTAGCCAAGAATCCTTCATCCTGGAGCCAACAACTTTCTATGGTTGAGTACGCTCATAATTCGTTACCAGTGTCATCAACGGGCCTCTCTCCGTTTAAGTGTAGTTTAGGTTACCAGCCACCAATTTTCCCCGAGCCTGGAATCCGAGGTCGCGGTCCCCTCCGCTCACGCATTCGTCCAGAGGTGTCGCCACACTTGGACCAGAGCCCGTGAGACTCTGCTCCAAGCGGGGAGGCGCATGAAGGCCAAGGCCGATCGCCACCGGTCAAAGCCTCCCGTATACGTCGTGGGTCAAAAGGTGTGGCTTTCTACCAAGAACATTCCGCTCCGTTCCGTTTCCAATAAGTTAGCCCCCAAATTCATTGGCCCGTTCCCTGTCACCAAGATCATTAGTCCGGTGGCAGTCCGACTCAAACTTCCTCCGGCGTACAGGAGAATTTGTCCCGCCTTTCATGTGTCTAAAATCAAGCCCGTGTTTTATTCTCCCATTAATCCGCCAGTCCCGGTTCCCCCCCCGCCGCGACTCGTAGATGGGGAACCCACTTATTCGGTACACCGTATTCTGGACTCTAGACGGAGGGGACGCGGATTTCAGTACTTGGTGGACTGGGAAGGTTACGGTCTGGAGGAGAGGAGTTGGGTACCTGCTAGAGACATTCTGGATCACTCCCTTATCGATGATTACAATCGGCAGGTAGGTTCGGCTGGGAACGCCAGGAGGCGTTCCTAGGGGAGGGGGTACTGTCACGTTTCATGGATCCACTGTCTCATTCTGATATGTTGTGTGTGTGTGTATGTGTGTCTGTGTGGGCGTGGTTACTAATTCCCGGTTGATTGTGTGCACCAGCTGCAAGCCCTTACCAGTTGCTTTATATGCCCAGTAATTCCCATCTCACATTGTCAGATCGTTGTGGCTTTCCCGGTGTCGTGTTCCTGTTCCTGTGTGGTCTTCGCTTCTCCTCGTGTGTTCCAGTCTTCGTGGGTCTTCGTCGTTGTTCCCGGTCTGGATTGTTTATTGTTCCTGGTTGATCACTCCGTCTTCATCTCCACGAGACCCCGGTTTGCCCATCGACGTCCCTGTTGTCACAGTTCCATCTGAGTGTTTGTCCCCGACCTGTGTTTTTCCTGTGACTTGTCTGACCAACTAATAAACCAACTTTTACTTGCATTTGTATCCGATTCGTTCGTCATATGATGAGGTAGGACAGATTATTCATCTGTACACCCCCTGATCTGGTCAATCATCATATTTGTGTCTGATGTGATTGTGATTATTCCGTTTTGTATCTTCCCTACTAATCTTTCTTTTTGTTTCCTTTTGGTTTCGAGTCAAGGCTGAGTGCGCCGAGGGGGAGGCTAGTCACCTGGGTGAACACATTTGCTGTGAGGTTGGAGCACCCGGGTTTGAGCACCTCTTCATATGTAGTTTGCCGTGCACACATAAATGGTTGAGAGCACAATTGTTTACAGCTAGTTTGCCACCCCTAACGTAAGCTTTAGCCTTGCAGTTACATTCTTTTTGTAGTAAATATTCTTTTTGTCTGTTTTATTTTGTGGGGACGGTACATTTTCTTTTTTTTTTTTTTATGTTTGGCTTAATGTGATTCAGTGCTTAAAAATAAGCGAGGTCTGGAGGAATGTTCTTTTAACATTTGATGTGTTTTGTATTGTTATAATAAACTTGCCAGTGAATTATATTACGAACAAATGGTGCTAGTGGGACATTTTCCTTCCAAATAAAACCATTAATTTATTGGATGAAGCGACTCTGTCTTTTCTCTGCACCACCGAACCTGGGTCCCTTTTATATTTCCTTGGGTGCAATTCCCAGGGTGGCGTAGTCCGTGCTATCTGGATTTAGTTATACTAAAAATCATACCGCTCACACTACACATAGTTAACTGACCACTACTAAATGCTTTATAACTACCCGAATTAACCCTGAATTACAGCTTAAATACATGTTAATAAAGCATTTATTAACACACTAAGTAACCATCACTATATGTCTGAATAATAAGATGTATGAATGTACATTTAAATAGTTTATTAATCATTTACTTACACGTTCTAAGTAATCTTGTGAACCACAGAAAACTCTTAAATATCTGGTTTATAAAAAATGCAATTAATCATTTAGAAATAATAAATTGATCATATAAATAAGGGATGAAAATACAATTATTAAATAAATTATAGATATGCTTGTAAATCAAGAAGAAAGCATTTATAGCTGTAATTATAAACTGCTTATTAATGTCTATTAATGCTTTATGAATGATGAATTAACTATTTACTCATGCTTAACTAATGATTATTAGCGTGTAGTTATTATAAAGTGTTACCCAGATTTTGATTAAAGATTACAAAGCCAAAACATTTTTTTGTGTGGATTGACTTGCATGGATGAATTGTTCACCATACAAACAAAGTATGGTCAATTTTGATTTCATGGGGACTTTAAGGCCCACTTAGTGAAACCATTCACTCATGTACTGAATCTTCAGATCACGCCTAAGGTTCTAAGGTTCTATTTGGGAGCCAATCAGCATTTCGAATGCACACAGGAGGACCATTCTGATCTCTAGAGAGAAAGCCATTTTACCTGTCCCACTTTCTGTGGAATAAAGTCCTGGTCAGATGCATTACAGCTGCTTTCTGTATAGAGAAACTTAAACTAATGGTTCCTGCAATATTGGGTTTAACCATATTCCTATACCTAAAATTAACATTTGCACTGGACAAAATATTTAGCAATGCCTTTTGTGCTTAAAGCAACACTATGGAACTTTTCAACCTTCATAATATATTTCCAAGACCCTTGTGATGGTACATCGACTTACAATAGGTTAAATGACACGTCTGCCATAGCCTGACGTGGTCTGTATCGCTTTTACTCGCACTATGTAACTTCGGGTTTCGGGTAGTAACCCGAGCACAAAAAGAACTACAAAACTCGACTGCTTTACGGCATACGTCACTTCCCCCACCACTTCCTCAAATTGTCTATGGTCATTGCAGACATCCCAAGTCTATAGCGTCCCAAGTCTATAGCGCATGGGTGAGAGCGAGAGACCTTGCGAGTGTGCCTCACGAAAGCTAGTCAACCCGCCACCCCCCCCCCGTCAACAATCCAGTCACCAAGATATACCTCCCTGAAATGCCTTCTTGCAGGTTGGGATGTCTGCCATTGTTGATTTCAAAGCCGGCGCTGGATAAACAGCGAGCGTGTGCGTGCGACAGTCGGCTGCGGTAGGCTAAATTATTTACGACAGCGGTAATGGACAATTCCGCTTCCAACCTGTAGGGCGACCGCTGAGGAAAAGTTCCTTGGTGTTGCTTTAACTTGAACCAGAAAACTTAAAGGTGCTATATGTAACTTTTCTTTTAAAATGAATCCTTTTTTTATTGCCTGTGTGTGAAGGGGTTGTAATCACACATTACAATGATCCACTTGTCAGGTTTTGCTATTACCTCTGAAGGCCAGTATTCCTATTTCTATGTGAAGTCTCCGGGTCGGATTTTCTGCGAAATCCATCGGATGTGACGTGCATGCGCTCCCGAGCCTCTCTCCTTTTTACATGCAGTCTATGCGACGGCACTGCTGCTGACGACATGGGTCTGATAACACCAAACACGACCTGCCTCCAGCACAACACACACTCCAACACAACACACACTCCAGCACAACAC